AGATGGGTCCTATTGTTTTATCTTTGTCAAGGATGTCTTTTTGTACTCATCCTAATTTATTTAGAAAAAGTCAACTTCCTAAATCACATTATTGATCTCCAATATGTGTAGGCTCATCCCAATAATTTACACGATGAAAATTACAAAAGAATGCGGGTTTGAACAATACAATATTCAATCATGTACTTCGTAAAATATTAATCGTTTCTCCCATTGTTTTGCAATTGGAAATTCAATACATCACTTTTGAATTTTAAATCGAATTTTCAAGGACGTTCGGGTGCGGTGTCACAGAACGCTGGCAAGGTAACTAAAATGCCTCTTTTATGTGGTGCTCGAGGTGAGCTGAGCGAGGAACTGTTTTGGCAGTACATCGAAGTTGTTGATGGTTCTAACCCGTAATTGGCTGAACCATTCATGCATTGGGCCCTGAAAGTTGTTGAAGAATAGCAGGCATATGGCATTGTTGGATGCTCTTAATAACACAACTCCACCCTCGTATGTCAGCAGGTGGGCCCTTGGATCCCTAACCCCATCATAGACCAGGCTGACTGGCGGCCTGCAATCTCGGGGAATATTTGTGGCCGGGATTCTCGAGGAGAATGGGGGTGTGAGGCAAGGCCTTGGTAGTTGGTTGTGCAGGGATTCTTGCCATCTGACGGGCCAGATCGTCAACTTGTCTTTATAGGTTACCACCACGCCATCCTGCGCGCGATATGAGCTAACAGAATAGGGATGTTCTGTGCAGCCTCGTCTCCCGTTTTCACGTGGACGGCCGGGCCCGTGGGGCACTCAGACGATTCAACGATCGTTCGTGTTTAGGTTCTAAAATCGACACTGCTCATTTTGGACTATTGGGGTTGTTTCCCTCACCCTGTGGTTGTCTAAAAAAATCACGATGTTTGTTCCCTGTTGGTGTGCCTCTCTGTTTGGGAGCGTGAAATCCCGATGGTCCGTTATCCTCCTGCAGAACAGCCCCTCCTCCAAGCCTTTGTTTACATCCAGCCGATCCGCCCGAAAGCTGATGTGCGAGATGCTTTAGATTCCTCGATATGTCCCTCGAGGGTTTGCATACACCGATCGGGTGTTAAGGGGATGCGCTATGTTTCGGCCGTATGCACATTGTGCTCCGCCTCATTCTAGTCGGATAAATTTCAAAAGAGTTTCAGCCAGTGCTCTCATGACCGCCTGAGTTGGACCACTCGCTACGCGAAGGATCGCCAGATGTCAGGGTCCGTGAAACCCTGCAATCACACAACCAGTCAAAAAAGTATTAGGTTTGTTGGGATGATCTTCTAACCATTTTGTAAGTAGTATTGCTTTTGAGTTTGTAGAAGATGCTGGCTAGCACAATAGCTTGCTCAGGATGTTTTTGTCAGTGTCCCACAGACGACGCCAATGTTGATGTTAAGTCCTCGTGATCCAAAGGCCCAACACAGTACCTTGGGCTTTCGTAGGATCTTTTATGGATTATGTCTCTTTTAGTAAGTGAGTTAAGCAATTATGAAGACAAAACCAATAGCAAGAAAGGAAAGAAGGTAAAGTGGACCAAATTCAATTGTCGGCTTATAAATATTACAGCACACCCTTACTGAGCCCGATTCCCGGTCCTCTATTCTGCACTGAGAGATTAGAGAAGAAACTGGATGGAAGTATAAGCTAACGAATGCAAATTCCAACCCCTTACAATGATATAAATGCAAGTCTTTTTTCTACAAGGTGGTAGGTATTGGGGGCAACGTGTCGAGCCCAGAGTGAATGACCCACAACCTTAAAATATCTCTCGTATCTAGCAAATTAAATGCACTTTCCGCCATTTTTTTTTTTCCGCCAATTGCTTGGTGAAGCTCTCCAATATGCCGATAGCGGCAGTGGATAAACGCCAAGTATTAGGATATTTCCTACCGGTAAGCCCTAGACGACTTGGACCGAATGAGCTCCCAGGCCCCTGTAAATGTACTTTGTGCCCTTGTGTTGGTTCGGATGCTTCGGGGTATTTGGGCCCAACAATGTATTTGTTCGAGATATGGTTTTACAAATGAGTACTTGGCCACCTTTCTCTAAATAGGTAGCCTTTGAGATTGTGTTTCTTGGCTAGAGCATTTTAAAATTTAAATTGCTAAAGGCTAATAATAAGAAACATCTGAAAATATGAAGCTTTTATGTAGTCTTTTTCTGTTGGTGGAAATTCGGCCGGATATACCTGCAAAAATAACGTTAGAAAAATAATATAGCTCGAGTCGCGTAAACGCTGTCCTCAAGAAAGTATTTCCGACTAGCGAAAATCTTTCCCCAAGATAAAACGAGCTCTTCGGCGTAAGCCGGTAACAGAACAACGAGAGTAAAATAAAATTAATCCAGCAGAAGAATAATTAGAAGTTTGCACAATTGTGAGGAAGATAATGATCATGATCACACATCCAAGTATAGGTAGGCCCGTATATTTATACTAACAGAATTATAACGTTGCAGCTCAGGTGGAAAACGATTAATAAGCAACGTTCATACTAGTAAATAAAGAGATTAAACGTTTACAATTAAATATTAACGTTACTAGTTAATAGCCATCATCGTACGTTATGGGACTTAAGGATCACAGTCATGACACTCACACACTCATTGTTTAATATTAATTGATAAACAATGAATTTTAATAATTAATAAGGATACACGTACATATGAAAACTTCCCAAATTAAATGGACATCTATAGTGCCTAAGTTTAATATTTGGAAGAACTTAATGACATTTATAAAAATATTTTTTAGTAGAATATAAAAACAAATATCTAGTTTATAAAATTGATTAATAAAGTATTATTCATTTGAAATACTCTCAATATTTCCAACAATCCCCCACATATTTCAAATGAATAATTTTAGATGTTAAAAATAGTTTAGAGAATTTCTGCTGGATTAAAGAAGTGAGACTTTAAGTTTGGTGTCCGTAGACTTGAAACCAAACCGAGACGATTAAGTCTTAATAAACCGAGCTTGTGGTGAAACCTATAGTTTCTTGAAACCAACAAGCTACTATTGGTAAATCAGGGTCTTAACGGTCGTGTCTCACCCCGCACAATTTCTCGCTATTACGCCGTTGTGCGCCGTAAGGCCATGCGCGTGCTTGGCTTTCATGAGTGCTCTAGAAGTTTTGTCATGCTTCATGGAGGCGGCCCCACCTCACACTCATATAGGTGATATCATCAAGTGTGTACCGCTTTTGCACACCACCCTAAAAGTAAGGGCTACGATAATCATTAAGAGCTTTTTAATTCATCCTCTCAAAGTATGCGGTTTCTAGCCTATATCTCACATCATGGAAATGAGAAATTTTAGTTAGGCTAGCAGAACTAAATGGAAGACTTGTTATTACCCATTTGAACTTGCTTCATGGGATCTCCAATCACACAAGTTGGGTTCCCATCCCCATTTGTTTCAAGTGACACTAGTCCCATTTCCTTCGATGTTTCAGTTATCATTTTTCGTCCTAGGGATTCTGTCAAAGGAGTAGCTAATTCCTTCTGACTTCACAAAATTAATGGAAATAATTCCATTCTCAAGCATCATTGCACCGCTTTTAAGGGTGAATGGATATCCACTATTTTAATTTATCTCATGTGAGTTGACTCAGATGTCGTCGTTGTATTCCGGAAATACAACGGATAACCCTCAATAAAATATAACATCGATGTGACCCTCTAGCACATCGGATAATTCTCAATCAAATAAATATCATCATTGTATCATTATAGTACAATGGATAATTCTCATATAACATCATTGTACTACTCTAGTACAATGGATAATTCTCAATAAAACATATATCATCGTTGTATCAATATTTACAACAGATAATTTCAATCAAATATACCATCATTGATGGTACCTCTCAAATATCTCAATAACTGCCTCAACACAGTCCAATGCTCCTTATTAGCAAAAGCTATTTTGAGCCTCAGGATCACCTCTATTTTTTTTAAGTACATATGAGAGTCATAAGGGATACTCGATCACGGAATGACATTGAAATGTCCAACCCTCTTTAGTAGTTTTCCAGCATGATGCTTTTGAGATATAGTATAATACCATCATCATATCCTTCCTTATGGCTTTCATACCCAAAATCTGTGACACCGCACCCGAACGTCCTTGAAAATTTGATTTTAAAATTCAAAGTTTATGTATTGGATTTCTGATTCCCAAACGATTGTAAAACGATTAATGTTTTACGTAATTAATGATCGATTATTGTACTATTCGAACTCGTATATAAGTATCGGGCCTTATTAATAAATAAAAGAGCCTAACATTATCTAAATAGTAACACATAACGTTTCAAGACAAGTTGAGGAAGGGCAGGCGGCCCAGATATTATTTTGGGCCCAACCCGCTAGAATAGCAAGTATTCGAGAATGGCGTCGTAGGCCCACTCGGGGCGACCCACACGGCTTGTAGCCCAATAATATGAATGACAAATGTCAAAAAAAAAAGTGATAGGATGAATTGAGATGAATAAAAATGTCTATGATCCCATCTTTGACATTATTGAGCTAATAATGGGAGTAGGATTTTCCTTCTATAATGTCCATCAAGTAAATTTTTGAGATGAGCCTACACATATTGGAGATCAATAATGTGATGTAGGAAGTTGACTTGTTCTAAATAAATTAGGATGAGTACAAAAAGACATCTTTGACAAAAGATAAAACAATAGAACTCATCTTCCCATTTTTGGAGGTATTGATAGATATTTTGGACCCCAAAATAATTGGGATCAATGGGGAACCACTCCACATGATATTAGTACCTGCAAGACAAATAAAAATGGGTGAGAAGACTTACCTTGGCCGACCACCATGGAGAGGAGCTGTACAAGACTTGATAGGAATCAAATGTTGGGCCACCATCTCCATTTTTCGCACAAAATGGTGTGCTGTTTGTCTCCACTCATTATGGGAGTTATACTCGACCAAACAACGTGTATAAGGTGTCCTTGGATAGCCTTTGAAGTCTATTTTCATAATTGAGTGGTCTCTGTTCGAGAGGAGAGAGTAATCATCCAAAAATCGATCTGGAGCGAGCAGTGGTCTGTGAACTCGAGCTCTGAGAGTGCTGAAACTGTTTGGTGTATATCTCGAGTTATACCAATCCAATTAAGGCGTGTGAGATACCAAAAGAAAGATCTCAAGACGAGGAATCCGTGAAGGTCTGGTTTGCATCAATCGGAGTAGTGGAAGGCTTCCAAATCGTCCGAGCAAAACACAACCTCGCAGAAACGGATCTACTCTTCTAAAGTGAGTTGTTAATCCCAAAACCTTTCCTTTCATTTTCCAAATGATATGAACGATTGGTGGAACTATTGTACACTAATCCAAGTGTATAATATGTCCTTGTAAAGTTATTTTATTGATGAAAAGGTTAGATACTAACCTAGAGTAAATCTTGGAAAACTAGGAAACGTGTTCACCGGAAAACACCCATTCTAGGGGCTGTTTTCGTACCAACGTTTAGGGGTTGATCTAGCACTTTGAAGAGGCTGTTTAACACCCATATTTGAGCAAGGAATCAGTTCCAAATCCACCTTTACCAAAGTCTTGACCATTGGACCAAGAAGGGATAGTTTAAAGCTCAATTGAGGTGAGGATGACCGACTATATTGCTTATAATTATTGGGTTAATTTCATAAGATTACCTAAATGAATTATATGTGTTTGGCATGATTTATTTTTAATAAAAATGCCTAAATGAGATTATTATTGTTTATAAGCAAAAATACATAATATACAAATTTATGAATAAATTGTGTATGATTATGTGTTATGAATACAATGGTATAATAGTTGTGTAAACTATAAATTAAATTGTGATAAATATACTTTTACCTCATGTAAGGAAGTCATGGAAGGATAAAAGTGATATTTTGATATTAGAGCCAAGTTATACTCGAATGTGGAATTAAATTGAAATATCCAAATTATTATGAATTTGCATTGGTTTATTAAGGTTAAATGATTAGTATAAAAATACTAGTCGGGAATGTTAGTTCAATAGCTTTTGGGAGCTAATCCCAAGATATTGGAGTTAAGTAACCTTAAAGGATATGTTTAAGGTGGACTTTATGAACTCAAGTTACATTTGGAGTAGGCCTTAAGGGTTACTCAAAATGGTTGGAACCTAGACTAAGAAGTGGTTTAGGGATTAGCTGACGTGACTATGAGCCGAGCTCTAGCACGTGGTAGTATGACTATGAGCCGAGCTCTAGCAAACGTAGGGTGACTATGAGCCGAGCTCTAGCACAAATTAGTATGACTACGAGCCGAGCTCTAGCAAACGTAGGGTGACTATGAGCCGAGCTCTAGCACAAATTAGTATGACTATGAGCCGAGCTCTAGCAAACGCAGGGTGACTATGAGCCGAGCTCTAGCACAAATTAGCATGACTATGAGCCGAGCTCTAGCAAACGTAGGGTGACTATGAGCCGAGCTCTAGCACAAATTGACACGACTATGAGCCGAGCTCTAGCATGAAGAACATGAGTTAATTACAAATGAATAACATCTTAGATTGAGGGTCTTGGAAATTGAAACTTTGATTATACTTAGTATAGTTGTTATTGTACTTGTCAAATGCTTCCAAGTACTGACCTCCCCTTCACGGGGGAGGCCACCTCACAGTTTCAGGTAGAACTTGAAGGTTGCTACCACCGCCCGTTGCTTCGGGAAGATCAAAGGAGGGGGACGTGGTTCGTGCTTCTTCCGTTCCTGTTTTGAAAACATTTTAAATAATGCTCATGGATATTATTCTCAAATATTGATTTGGGGGCTTGTATGCCCATGTTTGTCAAGGTGTGGCTTCAACACTTGTATTGAATGTTTCCGCTGATTTAAATGAATATTTTGCATTATGTTTGTTTATGGATGTACTATGTGTGAATGATATTCCAGACGCCTTGTATAGTATGGATGTGTTGGACTGCGGTTGACTATTCGTACTGTACGGCGGGTTGTTGACGTGTCCGGACAGGTCCGGGGCGTGACAATTTAATTGGTATCAGAGCCTTAGTCCGTAAACTTCATAATGAAGCTTCAAAACCTCTTTTTGAAAACGAATTTGAAAACCATGAGCATAAAAAGTTTTGTACTTATAGAACTTTTGGTACTTGAGTTGCAAAGTCTCTAATTGTTAAGATGGTACCCTTAACAATTGGTATGGCGGTGATTTGAGCCAAAAGATGTCTTTAAGTACCTATCCGTCACTTGACATTTGATACGAGTCTAATGGCTCATTCTAAACTTCCTTCAGAAATGGAACGTACCGGTAGAGTTACTTGACGGAACCCGACTGGCCAGGCGCTGGGAGGATCCCAACGTGGCAGTCGGGGGGGGATCAAGAGGGTCTATGGGACAGGGCCGTGCAGGCCACTCGCTGACCGTGAGTGACGGTCACGTGGAAACAATAGATGAACACTATGAGTCCGAGGAGGATTCAACTTACCAACCGGGAACTGAGCCGGTTGAGACCCCATATGAGGGGGAACACGATGATGCTAGTGATGAGAGTGATGATAATAATGCTCTTGAACGGATTGAGGAATTGCTCCGACAATACCAACAAGATCGCCAAAGGCGCCGGGCAGGGCGTGCTTTGGAAGGGGCTTCGAGGAGAGGAAGCCGCGCGACTCCTAGGGAGAGCATTGAACTCCGAGGAGGTCGAGGTGACGAGGTTCCTATCATAAGGATCTCAAAGTACTTAAAGGAGGCGAGAGACTTGGGATGTAAACCGTTTGATGGAACGGGAGACATCTCCGTGGCGGCCGAGTGGATCAAGAGATTCAATGAAGCGGCCCTTGATATGCAGCTGCCACCCCATATGAAGATGAGAGTGGCAACGAGATTGCTAGAAGGAATGGCGTCCACGTGGTGGGACGGTGTCAAGGGAAAGTATGGTGAGACGGTCACTTGGGAGAACTTCAGGCAAGAATTCTTTAGCCAATACTACTCCGACTTCGAGGTGAAGTTGAAGAGAAGGGAGTACACGAATTTGACCCAAGGAGGGGAATGCACGGTGAAGGAACTTGAGCACAAGTTCAGAAAACTTGCTGAGTTCATACCGGAGTACATTTGTGACGAAAACCGGATGGTGAACCATTTCTGGGATGCCTTAGACCTTGACATACGCGAGAGGGCAACACAATTGCCTAATATGACGTTTAGTCAAGTGGTTGAACAAGGCTTGAAGGGAGAAAAAGAGTGGGAGGAAAGAAAGCGAAGGAACGCCGAAGAGGCGAAGAAGAGGAAATGGGAGAACCATGGCCCCCAAAGTTCTAACAAAAAGGGGAACCACGGGGGAGGGGGATCGTTCAGAGCGCCGGCACCGCCATCCAAGGGAAACTCGGCCTTCGGCGGGCACAACTCGGACTCACAAGCCTCAACGGCGCCCAGGTACAGAAATTGCAACAGGAGCCACGCGGGTAAGTGTCGCGATCCACCACGGTGTTACCAATGTGGGGACACGGGGCATATTAAGCCAAATTGCCCTCAACTTGGTAGGAACCGACGAGCGGGATCAAGCGGCGCTACTACGGCGAGTAGGAGCCGAACCGGAGCACCTCATGCTAGTACGGGGCAAGGGGGAGCAAGTACGAGCAACGCACCCTCCGTGAACCAAGGAAGGACCCAAGCAAGGGTCTACGCAATTACGGAGGCGGATACCCGAGCTAACCCAGATTCGGTTGCTGGTACGACCGTTTAACTTCCCGTGTCTTACCCATTCCTCATCCATAAATTGAAGTTATAAATCCTAGAATCCAGGTGGGAGCAGACGTAAGATCGAAATGGGAAAGGAGAGCAAAACCATGCTACTACCCGACCGGGTAGGGCAATAAACCCGACCGGGTAGGAGAAGTTTTTGCCCTCGTAAGCCTTCTGGATCACGTACCCGACCGGGTATATTGGGTCACCCGATCGGGTCCACTGAAAAATCTTACTGGAATACCCACTGGAACACCTACCCGACCGGGTCTGGTGATGTACCCGACCGGGTCTGATGAGAAAATTTGGGCCCGACATGCTACCAGACCGGGTAGAGTGGGAGATTACCCACTGGAACACAAACCCGACCGGGTCTTATGATGTACCCGACCGGGTCTGATGAATATTGTGGCCCGACTTGCTACCAGGCCGGGTAGAGTGAGAGATTATCCACTGGAACTCATACCCGACCGGGTATGGTATGTTACCCGACCGGGTACACCCCAAGGTGTTCGTCAAATGAAAAAGTTGTCTTCATGAAAGTTGTAGATATTTTCATTATCTAAATGATGGAATTTGAATCGAACAATTTGGTTAAGTATGTGAAGAGATATGATCAAAACGGTGAGACGGTGTCAATTTATATCTCAACTGCGAACGACAACCATAATTGGGGGATTTTGTCCACCGTAAGGACGTAATTTCGCATTATGTTCTTCGTAGGATTTGTCGGGATGTTAGAGAGGTATCTTACATGGCTTATAAATGTAGGAACACTAAAGATTAATGGGAGATGTGCGAGAATCCTCATCGATACCGGGGCGCAACGATCATTTGTGAGTGAGGCATTCGTCGGGGGATTCAACGTACCCCTGGTACCGATGGCTCAAGCTCTATTGGTATCCACACCCCTAGGGGAAGACATCGAGAGAGATAGCCACTATCCATCGTGCGAGGTGGAAGTGGAGGGCCAAAACTTGTCGTGTGATTTCGTGCCGCCGAGTATGATTGAGTTCGATGCAATCCTGGGGATGGATTGGCTTGAGAAGCATCATGCTAGGGTCGATTGTTACACGAAAGTACTTGAACTCGAAAGCGACGAAGGGGTAACCTTACGCTTCGAGGGGGATAGGGCCAAATCCAATAGTTGTATCATATCCGCCGTAAGGGCTAGGAGTATGATGAGAAAGGGATGTCACGCTTATCTAGCTTATGTGATAGACAAAACCAAGGAAGAGGCGAGCATTGATGATGTGAGGGTAGTATGCAAGTATCCGGATGTCTTTCCAAAAGACTTACCGGGACTTCCACCCGATAGGGAGATCGAGTTCGTGATTGAGGTCGAGCCCGGCACCAAACCAATCTCCATACCGCCGTACCGCATGGCACCCGCCGAACTTAACGAGTTGAAAACTCAATTGCAAGAGCTTTTGGATAACGGTTTCATTAGACCAAGCCACTCCCCGTGGGGAGCACCGGTTCTTTTTGTGAAAAAGAAGGATGGAACACTTCGAATGTGCATCGACTATCGACAACTGAACAAGGTCACAATCAAGAATATGTATCCTTTGCCTAGGATTGATGACTTGTTTGATCAACTACGAGGAGCAACCGTGTTTTCAAAGATTGACTTGAGGTCGGGGTACCACCAATTGAAGATTAAGAAGGATGACATACCGAAGAGTGCTTTCCGCACGAGGTATGGGCATTTTGAGTTCCTTGTTATGTCGTTTGGGTTAACAAACGCCCCGACGGCATTCATGGACTTGATGAACCGAGTATTTCACAAATACTTGGACCGATTCGTGATTGTGTTCATTGATGACATCTTGATTTACTCAAAGAGTGAGGAAGAGCACGAAGAGCACTTGATACTCGTTCTTGAGACACTACGGGAGAAGCAACTTTATGCCAAATTTTCTAAATGTGAATTTTGGCTTAAGGAAATTGGCTTTCTCGGGCATGTGGTTTCGGGATCGGGAATTGCTGTTGATAATAAGAAGATAGAGGCCATTACCGAATGGGAGAGACCAAAGAATGTCAAGGAAATTCGTAGTTTCCTTGGATTGGCAGGATACTATAGAAAGTTCGTGGAGAAATTCTTCGTTTTGGCATCACCATTGACAAAGCTCACTCGTAAAGGAGCTAAGTTTGTATGGGATGACAAATGTGAGAAAGGGTTCATTGAACTAAAGAAGAGATTGACCGAGGCACCAGTACTTGCATTACCCAAACAGGGTATGGGGTACGATGTCTATAGTGACGCGAGCATCCAAGGGCTTGGATGGGTGTTGATGTAGGAGGGGAGGGTAAATGCCTATGCTTCACGACAGTTGAAGAAGCATGAGGTGAATTACCCTACCCATAATCTAGAGCTGGGAGCAGTGGTGTTTGCACTGAAAATTTGCAGACATTATCTCTATGGAGAGACATGTCACATGTATACTGATCATAAGAGCTTGAAGCATGTGTTTACTCAGAAAAAGTTAAAACATGAAGACAGAGAGGGTGGATGGAGTTGATAAAGGACTACCATCTAGTTGTTGAGTACCATCCAGGTAAGGCAAACGTTGTAGCAGATGCCCTCAGTCGGAAGAGTTGTCTGGGGCATTGTCGACTAGTTTGAGGGCATTGAGGGGAACTACGCTGTGCAACCAATCAAGGTCACCAATAGAAAGGTGAAGAAACTGAGGAGCAAAGAGGTCCCAATGGTTAAAGTACTTTGGAAGAGCGATCAGGTCGAAGAAGAGACATGGGAAACAGAGGCTTTGATGAGAAAGCAGTATGCTTTCCTATTCGAGTAGAGCTGTGAATTTCGGGGACGAAATTCCTGTTAAGGGGGGGGTGAACTTGTGACACCGCACCCGAACGTCCTTGAAAATTTGATTTTAAAATTCAAAGTTTATGTATTGGATTTCTGATTCCCAAACGATTGTAAAACGATTAATGTTTTACGTAATTAATGATCGATTATTGTACTATTCGAACTCGTATATAAGTATCGGGCCTTATTAATAAATAAAAGAGCCTAACATTATCTAAATAGTAACACATAACGTTTCAAGACAAGTTGAGGAAGGGCGGGCGGCCCAGATATTATTTTGGGCCCAACCCGCTAGAATAGCAAGTATTCGAGAATGGCGTCGTAGGCCCACTCGGGGCGACCCACACGGCTTGTAGCCCAATAATATGAATGACAAATGTCAAAAAAAAAAGTGATAGGATGAATTGAGATGAATAAAAATGTCTATGATCCCATCTTTGACATTATTGAGCTAATAATGGGAGTAGGATTTTCCTTCTATAATGTCCATCAAGTAAATTTTTGAGATGAGCCTACACATATTGGAGATCAATAATGTGATGTAGGAAGTTGACTTGTTCTAAATAAATTAGGATGAGTACAAAAAGACATCTTTGACAAAAGATAAAACAATAGAACTCATCTTCCCATTTTTGGAGGTATTGATAGATATTTTGGACCCCAAAATAATTGGGATCAATGGGGAACCACTCCACATGATATTAGTACCTGCAAGACAAATAAAAATGGGTGAGAAGACTTACCTTGGCCGACCACCATGGAGAGGAGCTGTACAAGACTTGATAGGAATCAAATGTTGGGCCACCATCTCCATTTTTCGCACAAAATGGTGTGCTGTTTGTCTCCACTCATTATGGGAGTTATACTCGACCAAACAACGTGTATAAGGTGTCCTTGGATAGCCTTTGAAGTCTATTTTCATAATTGAGTGGTCTCTGTTCGAGAGGAGAGAGTAATCATCCAAAAATCGATCTGGAGCGAGCAGTGGTCTGTGAACTCGAGCTCTGAGAGTGCTGAAACTGTTTGGTGTATATCTCGAGTTATACCAATCCAATTAAGGCGTGTGAGATACCAAAAGAAAGATCTCAAGACGAGGAATCCGTGAAGGTCTGGTTTGCATCAATCGGAGTAGTGGAAGGCTTCCAAATCGTCCGAGCAAAACACAACCTCGCAGAAACGGATCTACTCTTCTAAAGTGAGTTGTTAATCCCAAAACCTTTCCTTTCATTTTCCAAATGATATGAACGATTGGTGGAACTATTGTACACTAATCCAAGTGTATAATATGTCCTTGTAAAGTTATTTTATTGATGAAAAGGTTAGATACTAACCTAGAGTAAATCTTGGAAAACTAGGAAACGTGTTCACCGGAAAACACCCATTCTAGGGGCTGTTTTCGTACCAACGTTTAGGGGTTGATCTAGCACTTTGAAGAGGCTGTTTAACACCCATATTTGAGCAAGGAATCAGTTCCAAATCCACCTTTACCAAAGTCTTGACCATTGGACCAAGAAGGGATAGTTTAAAGCTCAATTGAGGTGAGGATGACCGACTATATTGCTTATAATTATTGGGTTAATTTCATAAGATTACCTAAATGAATTATATGTGTTTGGCATGATTTATTTTTAATAAAAATGCCTAAATGAGATTATTATTGTTTATAAGCAAAAATACATAATATACAAATTTATGAATAAATTGTGTATGATTATGTGTTATGAATACAATGGTATAATAGTTGTGTAAACTATAAATTAAATTGTGATAAATATACTTTTACCTCATGTAAGGAAGTCATGGAAGGATAAAAGTGATATTTTGATATTAGAGCCAAGTTATACTCGAATGTGGAATTAAATTGAAATATCCAAATTATTATGAATTTGCATTGGTTTATTAAGGTTAAATGATTAGTATAAAAATACTAGTCGGGAATGTTAGTTCAATAGCTTTTGGGAGCTAATCCCAAGATATTGGAGTTAAGTAACCTTAAAGGATATGTTTAAGGTGGACTTTATGAACTCAAGTTACATTTGGAGTAGGCCTTAAGGGTTACTCAAAATGGTTGGAACCTAGACTAAGAAGTGGTTTAGGGATTAGCTGACGTGACTATGAGCCGAGCTCTAGCACGTGGTAGTATGACTATGAGCCGAGCTCTAGCAAACGTAGGGTGACTATGAGCCGAGCTCTAGCACAAATTAGTATGACTACGAGCCGAGCTCTAGCACAAATTAGTATGACTATGAGCCGAGCTCTAGCAAACGCAGGGTGACTATGAGCCGAGCTCTAGCACAAATTAGCATGACTATGAGCCGAGCTCTAGCAAACGTAGGGTGACTATGAGCCGAGCTCTAGCACAAATTGACATGACTATGAGCCGAGCTCTAGCATGAAGAACATGAGTTAATTACAAATGAATAACATCTTAGATTGAGGGTCTTGGAAATTGAAACTTTGATTATACTTAGTATAGTTGTCATTGTACTTGTCAAATGCTTCCAAGTACTGACCTCCCCTTCACGGGGGAGGCCACCTCACAGTTTCAGGTAGAACTTGAAGGTTGCTACCACCGCCCGTTGCTTCGGGAAGATCAAAGGAGGGGGACGTGGTTCGTGCTTCTTCCGTTCCTGTTTTGAAAACATTTTAAATAATGCTCATGGATATTATTCTCAAATATTGATTTGGGGGCTTGTATGCCCATGTTTGTCAAGGTGTGGCTTCAACACTTGTATTGAATGTTTCCGCTGATTTAAATGAATATTTTGCATTATGTTTGTTTATGGATGTACTATGTGTGAATGATATTCCAGACGCCTTGTATAGTATGGATGTGTTGGACTGCGGTTGACTATTCGTACTGTACGGCGGGTTGTTGACGTGTCCGGACAGTTCCGGGGCATGACAAAATCACATATTATCCACATATAAGCAAATAATAATGCACACACCTTTTCACATTTAGTGCAAACACACTTATCTACTTCTACTGAGGTAAAATCATGAATAAATAACACTACGTCAAATTTTCCATTCCATTGTTTTGGAGCTTGTTGCAATTCATATAAAAATTTGATCAACTTACACACTTTGTGTTCCTGATCAGTGACCACATGACCCCCCAGTTGCACCATATCTATTTCTTCCTCTAGCTCTCCATTTAAAAACACAGTTTTAACATCCATTTGATGGATAAAAAGTTTGTGAATGGAAGCCAAGGCAATTAAAGTTCGTATAGATGAAATACGCGTTACCGTTGCAAATGTATCAAAATAATCAACATCTTGTTTTTGAGAAAAACCTTTCGCCACAAGCCTCGCTTTGTATTTATCAATTGAACCATCCGGATTTAATTTCTTTTTTAAAAATCCATTTGCATCCGATTGGTTTGCAACCTTTCGGTAAATCGGTTAAAATCCAAGTTTTATTTTGTTTGATAGAATCAATTTCGTTTTGTATGGCCTCGAGCCAAAAAGGAGCTTCTTTGGAAGAAATAGCTTGTGAATAAGTTAAAGGTTCATCATTGACAAGGTATGTATAAAAATCATTTCCAAAAGATTTTTCTATCCTTGGCCTCTTACTTCTTCTCAAAAGAGAAGGTTCATCACTAAAAGAATTATTTTCTTTTAATGTCTCACTATCACTAGAGGGTTCATCATTAAAGGTTTCATTTCCTTGTAATGGATCATACTCATTATATGGTGCAACTGTCTTGTGTTCACGTCTCAAAGGAAACAAATTTTCAAAAAATTCAGCATTTTTTGTTTCAACAAATGTATCACATTCAAGCACATCATTTTGCAAAACAAGGAATCTATAAGCAGCACTAGATTCAGCATAACCAATAAACAAGCAATCAGAAGTCTTAGAACCAATTTTCCTCTTCTTAGGATCAGGCAATAAGACTTTAGCCAAACACCCCCACACTTTCAAATATTTCAAATTAGGTGCAAAACCTTTCCACAATTCATAAGGGGTTTTCTTATAGTGCTTACGAGGAATCCTATTTTGTAAGTGACAAGCAGAAAGAATAGCCTCCCCCCAAAGATTATCAGGTGCACCGGAACTAATTAAAAGAGCATTCATCATCTCTTTTAGCTATTCCATTAGATTGGGGTGAATATGGCGGAGTGACCTCATGAATTACCCCTTCTTTTTCACAAAAATCATTAAATAAAATATACTCACCCCCTCTATCCGATCTAACTCTCTTAATCTTTTTATTTAATTGATTTTATACCTCGGATTTATACACTAAAAATTTATCAAAAGCCTCATCTTTATTTTTAAGCAAATAAACTTTAGTGTATCTAGAAAAATCATCTATAAATGTGACATAATATTTTTTACCACCTCTAGTCATGGTATTTTTCAAATCACCTAAATCCGTGTGAATTAAACTAAGCAATTCAGATTCCCTATAAGTGGAGGGACAAGGTTTTTTGGTTAGTTTAGATTGAACACAAACATCGCATTTTTCTAGTGTCATTTTATTTTTACTAGAAATCAAACCACAGTCATTTAGCATTTTAATATAAGAATTACTTGCATGTCCTAATCTAGCATGCCACACATCATAAGAGTCAACTAAATAGACAGAAGCATTATCATGCAATATTTCAGAAATGCCAAGTATATATAGTCCTTTCTTACAATAGCCATTTCCCACAAGAACATCATTTTTGGTCATAACAAAATTATCACAACCAAAAGAAACTTTAACCCCAACTTTTCCCAAGAGATAAATAGAAACTAAATTAGTCCGAATCTCGGGCACGTGAAGCACATCATTTAGTGATAAAGTTTTTCCCGATGTGAGTTTAAGAAGAACTTTCCCTTTTCCATGCACCTTAACAGTTTTAGAGTCCGCTAGGTATACGAGCTCTTCACCATCTCCTATAATAGTATAGGAGGTAAAAGTATTTTTGTTTTTACAAATATGCTTAGTAGCCCCGGAGTCTACCACCCACTCATTCACATTATTCGTTTTACAACTTTGAGAAACAACCGCAATAAAATTATCATCACTACTAACCAAGTTTAAACTTGATTTTAGTGGGTTGTTGTTTTTCATAGTTGTCATTTTACCACTAAATAAAGGAATAATATTTTTCTCAAAAATTGGTGTTAAAGTATGGCTTATTGTAAGTAGGAAAGTAAAAAGAGTAAGCATTATACGTAGAGATATATCCAAATACCAGTCTAAATCACACCACACATGCAAGAATAACATGGCCGTGATGAGTGCAGCGACAACGCCTTGTGAGATCACACGTGCAGACATATCCGACGCGAAATACTTTCTTGAGATTGTTGGTGGAAATTCGGCCGGATATACCTGCAAAAATAACGTTAGAAAAATAATATAGCTCGAGTCGCGTAAACGCTGTCCTCAAGAAAGTATTTCCGACTAGCGAAAATCTTTCCCCAAGATAAAACGAGCTCTTCGGCGTAAGCCGGTAACAGAACAACGAGAGTAAAATAAAATTAATCCAGCAGAAGAATAATTAGAAGTTTGCACAATTGTGAGGAAGATAATGATCATGATCACACATCCAAGTATAGGTAGGCCCGTATATTTATACTAACAGAATTATAACGTTGCAGCTCAGGTGGAAAACGATTAATAAGCAACGTTCATACTAGTAAATAAAGAGATTAAACGTTTACAATTAAATATTAACGTTACTAGTTAATAGCCATCATCGTACGTTATGGGACTTAAGGATCACAGTCATGACACTCACACACTCATTGTTTAATATTAATTGATAAACAATGAATTTTAATAATTAATAAGGATACACGTACATATGAAAACTTCCCAAATTAAATGGACATCTATAGTGCCTAAGTTTAATATTTGGAAGAACTTAATGACATTTATAAAAATATTTTTTAGTAGAATATAAAAACAAATATCTAGTTTATAAAATTGATTAATAAAGTATTATTCATTTGAAATACTCTCAATATTTCCAACATTTTCATCCGCGCGAACACTTCCACTATTTAGTGTGTTGTTTGGTACGGCGGTATCATTCGAGAATGAAAAACCATTCTATCCTCAAAGGCAAGTATTTACATAAGGAAACAACAAGTAACAAGTATTTGTTGGACTCATGATTTGATAAACGTTCTCCAAATTTACATTCGGGAATTATCCATATTTTTGTTAGTTGTTACTTGGACATGATAAACGTTCTCCACGACCTTGGTTGCTTCAATAAATAGATACACATTATCTCACTTTCTGGTTCATCACTTGTTTTAGATTTTATCAAAAGAACACAATTTCTCTCATTTGGCTATTCCTTGATAACTCGAATTCTATAAGTTCTCTCAATTTAGTATTCATTGGCTCAAATAAACATAAACAAATAGAAAAAGAAATTATATTTACCAAGAATTTACCATGTCCAAATAACAAAAGTGGATCGTACATCCATAATAAAGCACATGCCCCATCCCAGTGGCTGAGTCAGATTTTTAGGATTGACCGGCATAAATAAAGAGGGACTTATGCGTAAAATTTGTACATCACAATGTAGTTTGTTTCACTCATTAAATCATAGTTATGATCATTAAAGTCCTAGCATATCGTGTTTTTCTTCATTGATTTCATTTGTCATCACAATTTGATAATGGAGTAATTTGGGTTTATAATGGGGTAATTTGGGTTTCCATTTTATTGTCCAAATTCGACTTTGCATCACGTTTTTTTAAATCTTTTTTTTTACACCTTCAACTTCATATGAAAGGACAAAAGTGTCACTTCATTAACAGTTCTGTTGGACTTCAACAAATTTTCTTATCGAACGCATTTTGATTTTTTTATATGGGATTGGGGTGTGTGAAAACAAAAATTTTAGAAAAATGGAATGCAAAGTCTAATTTAGACAATAATGTGAAGTCCAAACTCAAATCACCCCTTTTATAATACAAGTATATAAATTATAAATAGCATACATTTGAAATTCTTAAAAAAAAATTAAGCTTTAAATAGTCGTGTTTAATAGTACGTACTACAAGCATGATAAAAAAAATAGTACTAAAAGCATACATCTATAGTCCATCCATTAATTTTGTTTTAAACTAATTTTCACGTTCCCCATTGTTCTCTACTTCCAAGTTCCAATTTCATACGTTCTATTCTCACTGTTGAGTGTTCAAACTGGCCCTAAGGTTTGGAAGAGGACATCGCTGTAAGAGCTGGGATTTTCTGGGTTTCTTAAATTTTCGAAGACGACGTGACTAATACGGTATAGAACACTTGACCGCATTACCATTGCCTAATCTATTAATAGAAGGGAAATTTTGTGAAACAAAAGGGATAAGGGTCAGATAGGGCCTCGAACTTGAAAAAAAATGTCAAATAAGGCCATATTTAGGATGCTCTGTCCGGCCGACGCCATTTGAGGCGGTTCCCGGTGGAATTTTTTGACAAATTTTTTCGAGAATCTTATTCATCAAGTCTAGTTTACTCATATCAAATTTGAACTAAAACTTTAATCGGGAAGGCTTTCAAATGAATTCTTGAAGATAACTGTGCAGTTAAAAGCGCAGTTATCTTCAAGAATTCATTTGAATGCCTTCCCGGTTGAATTGTTAGTTCAAATTTGATATGAGTAAACTAGACTTAATGAATAAGATTCTCAAAAAAATTCATCAAAAAATTCCACCGGGAACCGCTCCAAATAGCGTCATCCGTACATAGCATCCTAAATATGGCCTTATTTGACATTTTTTTCCAAGTTCGAGGCCCTATCTGACCCTTATCCCGAAACAAAAGCACAAATAAAGTTAAGAAAAACGATTTTAACAAACATACACAATTAGGAAATGGTGAAATTAAATTAAATCATCATAAAGTAGGACTTAAACGGATTTATAAACCACAAGTACATAAAGTTTGACTTCATACATATTAAGAAATTTTGGAATTAAATTAAATAAAGTTTGACTTCATACATATTAACAAATAAATTTGACTTTACTGTGAAATGCACTGTTTAAACACTGTTTGACACTG